GCGACCGCCACACTGGTAGTGGGACCAACACTCCACAGCACTGTGTGATCGCCACACTGGTGGTGGAACCAACACTCCACAGCACTGTGTGATCGCCACACTGGTAGTTGGACCAACACTCCACAGTACTGTGTGATCGCCACACAGGTGGTGGAACCAACACTCCACAGCACTGTGTGATCGCCACACTTGTGGTGAGACCAACACTCCACAGCACTGTGTGATCGCCACACTGGTGGTGGAACCAACACTCCACAGCACTTTGTGATCGCCACAATGGTGGTGGGACGAGCACTCCACAGCACTGTGTGACCGCCACACTGGTGGTGGAACCAACACTCCACAGCACTGTGTGATCGCCACACTGGTGGTGGAACCAACACTCCACAGCACTGTGTGACCGCCGCACTGGTGGTGGAACTAACACTCCACAGCACTGTGTGATCCCCACACTGGTGTGGAACCAACACTCCACAGCACTGTGTGACCGCCACACTGCTGGTGGAACCAACACTCCACAGCACTGTGCGACCGCCACACTGGTAGTGGGACCAACACTCCACGACTGTGCGACCCCCACACTGGGTAGTGGACCAACACCCACAGCACTGTGTGATCGCCACACTGGTGGTGGAACCAACACACCACAGCACTCTGTGATCGCCACACTGGTGGTGGAACCAACACTCCACCGCACTGTGACCGCCACACTGGTAGTGGGACCAACACTCCACAGCACTCTGTGATCGCCACACTGGTGGTGGAACCAACACTCCACCCGACTGTGGACCGCCACACTGGTGTGGACCAACACTCCACAGCACTGTGTGATCGCCACACTGGTGGTGGAACCAACACTCCACAGCACTGTGTGATCGCCACACTGGTAGTGGGACCAACACTCCACAGCACTGTGTGATCGCCACACTGGTGGTGGAACCAACACTCCACCGCACTGTGACCGCCACACTGGTAGTGGGACCAACACTCCACAGCACTGTGTGATCCCCACACTGGTGGTGGAGCCAACACTCCACAGCACTGTGTGGCCGCCACACTGGTGGTGGAACCAACACTCCACAGCACTGTGTGACCGCCACACTTGTGGTGGGACCAACACTCCACAGCACTGTGTGACCGCTACACTGGTGGTGGGACCAACACTCCACAGCACTGTGTGATCCCCACACTGGCGATTACGGTTACAATAACTTAATAAAGTAACTTTATAAAGCTCTCACTGAGCTAAAAAAAAATCATGTTTGACACAATACTGAGGCTGGAACAATACACAAATAACCCTTACACGGGAGAAACTTTATGACGAGGTTCCATAAGTTTCTATTTTCCTGTTATTTGATGTAAAAATTTCTAATATTGCTTGGTCCTGTCTGATATATTATGGTGGAGCACAGTAAAGAGTGCACAGTACACAGTGCTCAGTATACAGTGCACAGTACCCAGTGCACAGTACACAGTGCACAGTACACAGTGCTCAGTATACATGCACAGTGCCGAACCCAGTGCACAGTACCTGCCAGTACCCAGTGCACAGTACACATGCACAGACAGATCACACACAACTAGTGTTTCCTCGAGTGATTGCTTCCGGTCGACCCCCACCCCACATCTGCGATCTTTTGGGACATTTTTGGTGGGACCTTATGGTACCATAACTTTGGTACTTATGGGACCATATCTTTGGTATTCTTATGTACCATGCTGGTGGGACTCTTATGGTACAAACTAGTGGTACTCTTATGGTACCACAGCTTGTGATGCTCTTAGTACCATACTGTGGTACTCTTATATACAAAGTTGTGGTACCAAAGGTACCCTAGCTGTGGTATTCTTATGGTACCATAGCTGTGAACCCTTAGGTACAATAGCTTGTGGTACACTATGGTACCATAGCTTTTGGTACTCTTGTGGTACCATAGCTTTTGGTACTCTTTATTCTAATAGCTTGGGTACTCTTTTTGGTGCCATAGTTGGGCACTCTTATGGTACATAAGCTGTGGGACGTATGGTACCATAGTTTTTTTGGTAAACCCAAACTTGTTGGCCCTGATCTAATCACCGTCCTCCATGTGTCCAAAGATGAAAATTAGTGGCCCATAACTAGGCCTGACTAGAGCCCATACACCTTGACACAGAACCCAGCTACCCCTGACACAGCACCCAAGCTACGAACAGAACCTACTACCCTGACACAGAACCCATAGCAACCCCCTGAACAGAACCCATAGCTATCCCTGACAGAACCATTGCTACCCTGACACGAAACCCTACTACCCCTGACACAGACCCATAGCACCCTACACAGAACCCCTAGCTACCCTGAACAGGACCCATAGTACCACTGACACTGAACCCATAGCTACCCTGACACAGAACCCATAGCTACCCCTGACAGCACCATGCTACCCTTTACACAGAACCCATAGGCTACCTGCACAGAACCCAAACTACGCCTAGCACGAAACAAGAGGGTTTGGTGCGGGAACATGTGGGGGAAGTCGAACGGGTTTAACAGGCGTTGATGGATTGGGCTTATCTGACCATTTGTATCCGAATCCAATGGGCAAATAAGATAAAGTTGCAGGTTAGGGAAACCACACTCAAACAAAAAAAAAAATAAATAAAAAAGGTACAGCTGAGCAGATGATGGTGATTTTGGCTGTCCTCTTTGCGCAAGACTCGGTAACAATCAATTTGTCTTCTGAACTGAGGTTGTGCACCTCTCACGCATCGTCACCCCGCTACAATCGTTCCTCACCTGTCAGGGAAGTTGCCCCCGTTGTTTCTGCCTTCTTCTCTATATTGAGCTGGAAGCCACGGCTGGCGAGCTTCCACAATTAAAGATACCCCCGTGTTGCACAAAATTTCATCATCAACTTGGCGGTCTCTCACCATTTATTACAAATCCTAATTTGGGGCACGGAAGGGTGCTCTTAGCCCCATAATGTTAAGTGCAGCTACCTGGATGTGGTCGCGGGGTCAACCCCTCCAGGTCCGGTCCATACCAGCCCCGGGGATAGCCTAATCACCAGCTGTTACTGCTGCCGCACGGAACCAAGTACAAACCACCCCGCAGAGGTACTGATTTTAGGTGCCTGTCCAGCTCCCTCTGAAGACAGCCAGAGGGCTTTGTAAACCCCTTATGGATTATGCGCAAGACTCTTACCTGTTAAATATTTAGTCCCCCAACTACACTAGGCCCCTGTTGTCCTAAACCAGACAGTTCATGCCTCTTCATCATCCTGCACCCAAACTAGTAGTTTTCAAAAGCATTAGGCGTAACATCCCCACCTTCCCTTATAAGCCCGTTTTGACTTAACAAGTATGAAATAAGCCCAAATGAAAGAATTATATCAATAAAATATACTGAACGGACTGCTTTCTATCACTGCGAGTGGATGGGTCTGCATTTCTGCATAAAGTTACGAATTGAGACGTTGAGGACAATTTCACTTTCAGATCTTTCTCAGTATCCATCCTCAAGTCTCAATTTCTTTAAGCAAAGAAACCCAGGCCCAGAAATCCTGAACCTTGCAACCCGTCATAAAAACTTGTACTGTGACAATAACACTTTAGGTGAGGGAGAATTTTTGTATTTCGTTGCTGGTTCCGTCAGTGACACAAGATGTAATGGGTTCGTAAACTAAGACCGCGTCAGGAAACAGTTGCGTTTTCCTGACAAACTTTACCTAACCTGACCTTCACTTGTAAAAAATCGTGATTTTAGTGGACAAGGTTAGATGAAGTTTATCATTTTCTCCGAATCACTGAACACTGATGTAAACTCCCCTGGCAAGTTTTTTGCGTCATGGTCTCTAAAACAAACTTGAATCTTCCTTTGCATTAGATACATCGGCATTGTAAGTTTCAAGACAATCAGAAGATGTACTCTCTAGCTATAGCACAAACTATTACTACCCAAGCTGTCAACTTGGCACCTACGCAATATAAAACCTTCCTGTACAATACACCACCGTTGAAAGTTACAAGACGATCAGTAGAGACTCTAAGTTATCAGTCGGACACTGGTTAATTAACTCATTTATATAAATCGGCAAATTGTAACCTAAATTTTTCCATCAGTAATCTGAACCTTCCTCTAAATAACATGCTTGGATGTCGTCAAGATTATCTGCGCTTCACCTTTAACAGTATGTAAGTCCCCATACTGTTGATTCAGCTTCACAATGTACCAGACTATAGAGAAAAACTCTTCTCTAGGCTGAGGGACTGACCACCTCAAAACTGAGTCTTTAAGGGTGATGGAGTGATTACATCGTCTTTACATCTCTACTGCTTCTCCTGCCTCTTCTGTACTCGACTGAAGAAGGCCATTGTGAAGGCAAAACTTTTCGGAATAAAGATACTTAACTGTTTCATATGTGTCTTATTTATCAACTTGTCGGTATTACATACTGTTCAACTACGTACCTCCCAGCGTACATAAGGGGGATTACCAATGGACCCCTGGCTGTCTTCAAGATGGCGCTGGACAGGCACCAAAAGTCAGTGCCTGACCAGCCGGGCTGCGGTGCGCACATCAGTCCTACGTACAGCCAGTAGTAAGAGCATGGTTGATCAGGCCCTGATCCACCGCGAGGCCTGGTCATAGCACCAGGCCCGCGGGGGCGGTGATCCCCGAAATCCTCTGCAGGTATACTCCAGGTATCAACATACACCGACACTGAAAGTTTGAAACCTGTCAGAAGAGGCGTTCACACATTATCACTCGGAAACCTCGCAGGAAGACAGAAAGAATGGAAATGGAATGGTGAAGTGGATTCTTCAGTCTTTAAGAGTCCTTAGACTGAAGCAGCCCCCCGGGGCGAAATGTTTCCTCTAATAAATGTCCTGAACTGTACATAAGTGTCTTTTGCCACACAGAAAGGACACCCAATTAAAAATTCTAAAATATACATACAAGACATGATGACTGGTGCCTTGAGAAAGATGGATGGTGAGTGAGATAGTGACCCGCCTGTATCTCCATGGTAGCATCAGTGTGTGTCCAGCGCTGAGGAGGAGAGGTGTTCTTGTGCTCTGCACACACCAACACTCCATGCTACTACCCGCTCACCTCACCCTACTAATTTATCATTTCACCTGCGAGGCCTGAATAAGACGAGCAGAAAATTAGAATCTAATCAGTGGCTATGGATGATAGAGGTAAAGCACAGGAAACCAGTTAAGTGAGGGTTTGAATTAGTGTGAGGGAAGCGAGCATCAGAGGTCCATCTGCGGGTGTGGTGGGTGAGGCAGCCACCATCAACTATCTCTACCTTTTATTGCACACTCAACTCATCCAAGTGAGATTTTTAAGGTAAGTTTCCTTACTTTGTTGTTACCTTGCTTGGTCACAATACAGAAAATTCAAGACGAACGTTGAATGAATTTTAATATTTGTTTATCTAACTGGCTTCTGGCATTTAATTTCCAGTTTTTCAACGCATCCACAAGAAGAAATTCCCCGCCTATATTTTTTTGTAATTCCGTCTAAGCCGTATCCGGAAATGGGCAAAATCATTACTGGACTATTTGGTGCCGTACAATTTTGCGGAGGTGCATGAATACTATAACCAGAGCTTTGGTAAGTTGGAGAAGGGAGAAGGATAGATAAAGATGTAATATGAAGGAGCGATGGGGGGATTAGGAGGGAGTAATATAGGTAAGTGGACCAACCACTTTGGTGTATAATAATATGGTGTGTGTGTTGTTTTATGCATAATAATCAGATGACTATACCACATCACCCATCAGAGACGTGCATACAAAAATAGCAAAAAGGCACAATACCATGACTGGAACAATATACAAATAACCCGCACATAGGAGAGAGGATTATTATTATTACAATCAAGGGGGAAGCGCTAAACCCGGAGGATTATACAGCGCCTGGGGGGGGGGGGATGTGGAAGGCATTCAGGCTTAATTTGGGGAACTGGAGCACAGATCCAATTCCCTAAATCAAGAGCCCCTCACCAACATCAAGGAACCTTCCTTGAGGGGATAGGAGAGAGGAGCTTACGACGACGTTTCGATCCGACTTGGACCATTTCCAAGTCGGACCGAAACGCCGTCGTAAGCTCCTCTCTTCTGTGTGCGAGTTGTGTAGATGTATAGAAGATGGATACGTGCATGACAGTGAATTGGTGGTGGATACATTTTGGGGCTAGTTGTGAGTCTCCTGCTGAGGCTGTAATAGCTGATCTTAAGTCGGGGTGTCCTACCGTAGGTTTTCAGATGCTACTTGGTTATATGCAAAATATTATAAGTAAGGTGTGTGTTTACCCGAACTCGCAAATTTACGCATATGTGTGTGTGAGAAACATGTTTTTCTGTGGTACACTTTAACTTATCATTGTGGCAATACTTTTTACCCAACACATGAGTACTGCCAACAGATCTTGAGTTATCTTACACTCACGTAGCAATATTTTTTCCAAGGATTCAACTTGTAATATTCGAGTAACATTTTTTGCTGTTTGGTGAACAAGAACAGCAGGGATGTCGGGAATCTGCTCTGACCACCAAGCTACAGGTCAGCCTCCCGTACATGCACATACACAGAAATTTCTATCTATATTTTAGATCTTGTACTCTCCTGCTTGTAGTTGTAAAGGTTAAGTCTCAGCTGATCACCTTCGCATACCTTCCCATGAACGATCACACACTTTCCCATGCTTCATAGGCCCTTCATACCCACTGTTAGTGGGTTTGGGTTTGAGAAAAACCTGCCTAGTATGGGTCAGTAGGCATGCTGCATTGTTCCTCCTTCTTATGTATAAGCTCTATTTCCACACTTTCATTCAGATTGTTTCACTTCTTAAACACCCTTAGTACTGAAGAAGTACTGCATACCATCCCAGTCAGGCATTTGTGACTTTAGCCTCCATCTCTATATAGCTATACTGAACCACAATTAACCTCGTATATGTTCCCTTCTAATCGGTCTCTTCCTGTCAAAAACCATTTCTTGTCTCTTAATTCTTTATGCTCTGGACTTTCTCTCGTTTCTGAATATGTTTTCTCACAGCTGCAAACTCTTATGTATTTGATTGACGTCGTATACAGGTCCTAGCTGTACGACCCTTGTGGATTTACCCCTTAGTTTAGTTGTAACAATAATAATAATAATAATATGTTTTTATTATTAACACATCGGCCGAGTCCCACCAGGGCAGGGTGGCCCGAAAAAGAAAAACTTTCATCATCATTCATTCCATCACCGTCTTGCCAGAGGGATGCTTTACACTACAGTTTATAAAACTGCAACATTAACACCCCTCCTTCAGGAGGGGTGTTAATGTTGTATTAACACCCTAATGTTGTATTAACACCGCTCCTTCAGGAGGGATGTTAATACAGGATCCGTAAGGAGTTTTTGTTGACGTACCCTAATTCCATTCTGGACTTTCCCAGGAACTCATACGGTGCCTATCAGACAATGTGCGCCTCCAACGAAATGCTGGAATTTTCTCTGAGATTTGTAACCTCTGGTCCCCTCCCCCTTTTACCTTGATACAAACATCTCGGACACTTTAAAACAGTCTACATGAAAATATTTGAAAGTACAAAATGAGTGAAGAGCAATGGACCGAATAAGTACAAACTAATGGTTAGGCGGAATGAAGGTGTTAGATTACATAAGGATTACATTAAAATATATTCAGTTCGAATGCGTGATTGTGTGTGGGAGATAACTATCAACTAATGTAAATAGCCAATTTGTCTGTAAAAGGATGCGAATGTGGTAATGTCGTCCGTACTGAAGGACCCACATTGCAGAGGCTTTTATTTGGGGCAATGTTTTGCTCTGTTAGACTTTAAAAAGTTTTACACAGATCGAAATGTTCAGTAAGAGGTCTTTCTGCAGCAAGCGTCTTTATTTGCTCTGTTAATGAAGATTACAGAAAAAAATAATTTGAAAAATATATTTAAAGACATTATTGCTATGATTTGTAGGTGATATACTTAAGTCGTGTTTTTGAGACAAATACAAAAATATGATGAGTGTTTGTCTCCCCGGCGCCGGAGTTGACGACTATGTGAAATAGATGGATACATTATGCTCGCAGATGGAGGAAATCACTTTATTTGCCAGAGCGTGGGAGGCAATGATACCGAGAAGTAGTCACCAGCTACTAAATTAAATTTCAACAAGCTTTTGCAATGATATATATATATATATATATATTATATATATATATATATATATATATATATAATATATATATATATATATATATAAATATATAATATATTATATATATATACCTGGAGGTTATTCCGGGGATCAACGCCCCCGCGGCCCGGTCCATGACCAGGCCTCCCGATGGATCAGGGCCTGATCAAAATAGACTGTTACTGCTGGCCGCACGCAGTCCAACGTACGAGCCACAGCCCGGTGATCCGGCACTGACTTTAGGTATCTGTCCAGCTCTCTCTTGAAGGCAGCCAGGGGTTTATTGGCAATTCCCCCAATGCTTGATGGGAGGCTGTTGAACAGTTTTGGGCCCGGACACTTATGGTGTTTTCTCTTGTGTACCAATGGCGCCCCTACTTTTTATTGGGGGCATTTGCATCGCCTGCCCAGTCTTTTACTTTCGTAGGGAGTGATTTCTATGTGCAGATTTGGGACCATTCCTTCCAAGATTTTCCAAGTGTATATTATGATATATCTCTCCCTCCTGCGTTCCAACGAGTACAAGTCAAGTGCTTCCAAGCGTTCCCAGTAGTTAAGGTGCTTGACAGAACTTATACGTGCAGTAAAGGATCTCTGTACACTCTCTAGATCTGCGATTTCACCTGCTTTGAATGGAGATGTTAATGTACGCATTTATTCCAGCTAGAGAGAAACAAGTGATTTGAAAAGGTCATCATGGGCTTGGCATCTCTCGTTTTGAAAGTCCCCTTATCCACCCTATCATTTTCTTTGCACGTGCGATCGTGGCACTGTTGTGACCCTTGAAAGTGAGATTCCTCAGACATTACTACTCCCAGGTCCCTTACATTATTTTTCCGCTCTATTGTATGGCCGGAGTCATTTAGTTTTACTCTGTTCTAGTTATTATCTCCTCCAGTTTTCCATAACGGAGTAGTAGTGGAATTTGTCTCATTGAAATTTTATTGTTTACCGTTGCCCACTGGAAAACTTTGTTTATATCTTTCTTGGAGGTTAACCGCGTCCTCAGCAGATGACAGCCTCTGCAGATCCTAGTTTTCATCCGCAAAGGATGATACGGTGCTGTGGTGTTTTATCTCTGTTTATGTTGATATGAGGATAAGGAATAAGATGGGGGAGAGTACTGTGCCTTGTGGAACAGAGCTCTTCACTAGGGCAGCCTCCGATTTAAACTCTGTTGACCACTACTCTTTGTGTTCGATTTGTTAGGAGTTGAAGATCCATCTCCCCACTTTCCCAGTTATTCCTTTAGCACGTATTTTATGGGCTATTACGCCATGATGCATTTGTCAAATGCTTTTGCAAAGTCTGTGTATATTACATCTGCATTTGATTTTCTTCCAGTGCACCCCAAGGCCCAAATGTCATAGTGATCCAGTAGTTGTGAGAGGCAGGAGCGACTGCCCTGAACCCATGTTCCCCTGGATTGTGCAGATTTTGGGAATCCAGGTGATTTGCAATCCGCTTCTTAGCACTCTTTCAAAGATTTTTATGATGTGGGACGTCAGAGCTATTGGTCTATAGTTCTTAGCTAATGCTTTGCTGCCCCCTTTATGGGTGGGGCTATATCCGTTGTTTTAAGTGACTGTGGAATTTCACCCATGTCCAAGCCCCTCCTCCATAGTGTACTTAGGGCACGCGAGAGGGGTTTCTTGCAGTTCTTAATGAAACAGAGTTCCACGAGTCGGGGCCCCGGGGCTGAGTGCATGCATGTTGTCAATGGCTTTTTCGAAATCTATCGGAGTTTGGGTAATGTCGGAAATCTGGCATACATTTATGGAGTTTGAGGCTCATTCATGAGAAATCATTTGGGTCGTCGATCCTCAGACCGATTAGTGGTTCATAAACACAGAGTCGTACTGGGATTTCAATATTTCACTCATTTCCTTGTTGTATCTGTGTAAGTCCCATCCTGTCTGAGTAAGGGCCCGATACTAGATGTGGTATTTCCCTTTGTTTTTGGCATATGAAAGAAATATTTTGAATTTCTTTCAATTTCACTAATAGCTTTAAGCTCCTCCTGCCTCTCCGGGTTTCCCTGAAAGAGTCATTTAGCTTAATTTTCGATAGTTTCCACTTCCCTGGTCAGCGCCTCCTTTCGTGTATCAGATATTCTACCCACCCCTGAGGAGCTCAGT